GAGAAATGGGTGGTAATCAAGTGAACAACCCAAAATGAAGACAAAGTGATGTAACCAGTGCAGAAGTGTTTGTGGAAATCAGTCTAAGCACTGTATGAAGCATATACTTATTCTGGAAATTCTGAAGACAAAAAGGCATGGAGAAGTCAGAAAATTTATTACAAGCTTCCGCCAATGGCTTAGGTGTCACTCAGAGAATTGACATCTATGTGCTGCCTTAATTTCGGGGTTATTTTGGCTCTTCCTGGTAGCCAAGTGGATTCCTGTCTGCCTCTTCCAGGGCAGGGGGCTTGTCTCAGATATTCTTGCCTCCCAGAGGAGATGGAAAAACAGAGGCAGAGGGGATGCTGCTAGATATTCAAGATATCGCCCCCGTACTGTGCATTACCTACTTCTCCACTAGGTTGTCAGACTTAATGAATAATCATAATGCAGACTATAGCTAAATTTGAATTTTAGATAGAAAAAAAATAGTTTGTGTATGTGAATTCCAAATATTGCTTAAGACAGATTTGCACTAAAATTCACATTTAACTTAGCACCCAGAATTTTATCTGGCGACCCTATTCCCAGTTTCTAGTCAAAAACAGATCAGACAAAGTTGTGGGTACCGGAATGCAATATATTCATAGTTTTGGGGAGGAAATTCACACATGTGGTGCTCCCTTTTGTACCTGGTATCCTTTAGTATATCACAAGGAGACCGCTTCTCATCTTTCATCAGGGTAAAAAAAAGTAAGTGATTCCAAATCTTAACCTTCTGCAGACTTGAGATGCACAAAGTCCAGCGATTTCCCTGCTGCCATTCATCTCTGCTGACACTCTGACTACTAAGTTTTCTGCTGACAGAAGTCTTGGTTCTTGGAGCATGAAAGGCTCCTTTTAGTCTGACAGCTTCCTGACTCTCCACTGGCACTTTGGGCTCCGCCCAGAACTAAGACAGCTCGACGCATCTGCTTAGGTCTTGGGAAGTGTTCCACCGGGCAACCACAACAAGAGAAGACCCTTTAGCAAACACTAACTCATCACTCTAATCTGGCTCCTGGGACAATGGGACACTATATGCTCCAAAAGGAGAAGCCACGCCTCCTCTTTGATGTTGCCCAACCTGGGGAACAGAAAAAGCCCAGGAAACGTGTTCTGGGAGTCTCTGACATCATCTCTATTCTCCCATCATAGAAAACTAATTTAGGGACAGCTCTTTCTACAGCTGGAGAGAGTTTTAGACACCTGCCCTCATCCTCTGGCCCCTAAAAGCATAGATAAACACACCATCTATTTTAAAAAGAGATTCAAAGTGTCTCTCTGCAATTCTTTCAATCCAAATGTCTCCTGCAAGCCCCTTTCGCAGAGAAATTCTAAGGATACCGCCTCCCTTATATGTTGACGTATTTATGTGCAGAAATATGCTCAATAATCAAAGGGAACTGTTTCGGGGCTGGGGATTTAGCTCAGCGGCGAAGCACCTGCCTGGCAAGCGCAAGGTCGTGAGTTTGATTCCCGGTATCAGGAGAAAAAGACAAAAAAAAAAAAAAAAAAAAAAGGGAACTGTTTGTACCCGGGGCTTCATATAAGCATTGTTCAACAGGCAGCAATCATCCTTACTGCTTCCAAATTTTCATGCTACCTTTCCCTCCCCTAGAAAAACCTCTCTTGCCCTATAAGAAATCTCAATCTTGGCTCCCCAGGGTGTCCCTTCCTCCTGAATTATGCTTGGAGGGGAAAAAAAACAATCAAATGTCCTTTTGTACCCTGGAAAGCAATTGCAACTCCTATAATTCTTTTCCCCCCACTTATGTAATTTATACATTGGCTTTCAGTGAAATCCATCCTCTACAAATTTGCTTTGTATTTGGAAGACAGCATCTTCAGCTCTGACCTTGCTCCTTATAAATAAGGAAGTGGAACTCCCCATCCATGAGAGAGCGCATCACTTTATCTTCTGAATAAATGAGTCTGTCATTTACGTATGGTTAAGATGACTTTTCCTTTGGAAAGTCAGCTGCGGAGTAGTTGTTCTAAATCACTTGCAGCATCTGCATAGTAAATTGAATGGCTTTTTCTTTAGTTTTCCTCTGGAAAGGGGCCAGCTCTCTTCCATGTTCTGGTGAGTAATAACAAAAATGTTTACAGTAGCCATGGGCTCCCAGAAGCCAATTCTATCTTAAATTTCTCCAGCATTCAGGAAACCACGGGAACCTGGAGGGACAAACAGAGCTGAATAGGAAAACTCTAACCAAAAAAATCAGGCTACAAGGCTCCTTGACACACAGAATCGTGTGCCTATTTTACAGGCTAGTGGAGCCGGTAAGTGGGGTTGGTAGGAGAGACTTCTGCACTGGGCTATGAGCACATCTTTCAAGGAAGACAGCAAAAAGGGAAGCTGCAGCTGATCACCACTCCTGGACTCGTGGGTCACTCTTCTCATTCACCACTCACACACTCCTGAAAGGCCCATATGATTCCCCTCACTGTTCACAGGAGGAAGGTGGGGTGTGTGTGATGAAGGGCCGTGTTTTTAAAGTCACACAGGAAGAAAATGGCCAAAGGAGGGCTCCTGTCTGTAGCCACTAAGCTTCTGCTCTTAACTGGCTTTCTGTTTTCTCTCAGAGAACAGTCTTTTTCTGAAAAAGACCTGGGCCCTCCCACATAATCACAAGTCTTCAACTGGAGAACAGACACTGGGTTAAATGCCCATTCTCGCTAATATGGCTCTTAAAAGGGCACAAGGAGAGAGTGCTGCAGTTATTTTCACAGGTACTCATTTTCCCCTGTCAATGAGCAGCGACTTTCAGAGTGTATTCAACGCTCGGTCGCTCAGCGGAGACTCAGGCACACACCGTCCTTGCTGAGGTAGCCTCTACGTGAGGCAGGCCCTGAAGCAAGGATTCCACTGCTCAACAGATACGGAATGGAAATGATAACAACAGTGATAGCCATCATTTGTTGAATGGTTCCCAGGCACCTGGCACCATCCTAAACTCTTCTCAAATACTATCTCATTTCATTCTCAAAACAATTCTATCAGAAGATTATCGTCATTCATAGATAAGGTGGTAGAGTATGACTTTCCAATCCCTCCCTGCCCTGTGTCTCTCTCTTCATCCTTTCTTTTGGAAGGAAGGTGATCAAAGACATAAACGCACACGAAACTATGCTCGTGAAGCGAGCTCTCCTGGAGAGACAGGCTACTACCACGTAGAGGTTCCACTTGGAGAGCTGCATGAAATGTGGGCCTTGTGAGGTGTGAGCAGGAAAAGAGGGAGAAGTTGACCAAGGGAGGGGTGTTTGCAGACACAGAATGACAGTCAAGGTAGGCAACTGGGGACACTCTCCAAGGACAGAAAGTGGTCTACGAGAAAGAAAAAGAAATATCTGGCACCAACATTTTGGTTCTGCAATGAATGATGCTTAGGATCAACTTTCTGGTGCTGGACTAAGTCTACATATACCCATTTCACAGGAAAAGAAACTAAGGCTCAGGAAGCTAAAGCTGTATATTCAAACACTCTCTTATATAAGATTTGACCTAAAAGCCATATGTCTTCATCCAGTTAGGAATGCCATAGTTAAATCTAGAATGAATGAACTGCAAAGCAGAGATTAAAAATTAAAAGCAGGAACAATTTCATAATGAACAGCCTGGGTGGTATAGTCACACCGGAGGTTGTGAACATTTCCTATTTTATCTAAGTCTGGAAAGTTAATGTATATTTCAGAAATTTAGTTGGAAATATATGAGCTATCCTAGGTGATAAATTAGAGCTACAGGGTTGGCATAGACAATTTTTTTAAGTGAAAGATGGGTCAAAATTCAACAAATACTAAAGGAAAAGAGTGGTGTAGAATCAGCCTTTGTGGAAGGTCACAAATAGCACAGTATTTATGCCTAGAAGAGAGTAGCGAGTCTGTGCCTAGAATCTTGAAAACTAAGCAAAATTACTTCCTCAGGTCTCTTCTTGCCTCGTGATTCTTTAGGTTTAATTACATTTTATGGGTAAGATGTCAGCAGAAAACTCCAGACTCAAACAGACTTTGGTCTGAACTTAACACATGACCACTGCCCAATCATTTGAAATTGTCTCTAAGAAGTTTAGAAAGTGCTAGGACATTCTGAGCTTTACAAGGAAAAAGATTTTATGTTCCATTAAAACAATGACAACCAAGAAAAATTCCTTACTGATTACAGGCGTTGCTGAAACTACCCTATCTTCATCTAAATGGTCTCTGGGATGTGAGTTCCCTGCACTTATTCTGACTTTACTCCTAAGTCAGCCTCACACGGCAGGAATTCAGATGAGTCCCTGATATGTTATCAAGGTAGAAGATAAACACAGCCGGACTTCAGTAAAATTTCTGTGAACGTGTTTTGTGCCCCCACATTAGTTAGCTAGTCGATTCTTCAAACTCCTCTGCTTGTTGTTTATTAAATTTTGCAAAAGAGGGCAGTCCTAGACAGGATCTGATGTGTTTAGTTTAAAATAAAATGCATTTTGGCATTATTAGTTTTGGTTAAAAATAGTTATGTTTTCCATGTTCTTATCACACCCTTTATTTCTCTGCCTCAGCACTTACCCGGCGTATCAGAACGATCTCTGTGATTGTCCCTCCCACTAGATTCTAGGCTACCTAAGGGTAGGTACCATGTCTTCGTTATATCGGTATTATTACCCTTTGGTCCCTGCCAGCTGATTAGACACTATTGGTCAGTGTTGCTCAGGAGAGAAGCTGGAAAGTGTGACACTACAAGAATAAACACTGGAACCAAGTGATCCAAGGTTAAATCCTAGCACCACCACTGTGGAAGCTCAAGCAAGCTCTACGGCTGAGTGTCCTCCTCTGGAGAACAGGGACCATAATGTTATTGTCAATGGAAGGCGGAATAGAGATCAGAGGCGCTTAGTCCAGTGCCGAGGCTCAAACGAGCTTGAGGCACCTGGAGACTTTAGACCAAGCCACCATCAGCTACCCAGGGGACTGGGCACTGGGCACGGCCTCACCTTATGGAACTGTGGAGGGTATATTCGGGCAGCGCCGTGGTTCAGCAGCAGCTGGTAGCAGATCTCAGGCTGGGCGGCAGGTCTCACCGAGGTGACCTTGAGCACGTACTGTATAGCGGCGCAGCCATTGATATCCATGAGGTTGGCTTCGGCGCCAGCCTCCAGCATCATGTGCATGAGCACGTGGTCGCAGTTCCAGGCCGCCTTGTGCAGGGGAGACTTAAAGTCGTCGTCGCGGGCGTTGACCTCGGCCTTGTAGTCCAGCAGCATGCGGCAGACGAGGTGGTGCTCCGGGCTGTACTCCTGCTCTTTGAAGCGGAGTGCCCAGTAGGTGGCAATGGCCAGCGGGGTCTCCATGTGGGCATTCACGCTGTCCACCACGGCCCCGTGCTCCACGTAGAAGGCCACCAGCTCCGAGAGCCCGAAGTGGGCCGCCGTGTGCAAGGGCGTCTCCTCGTCCTGGTTGTTCGTCTTCATGTTCACGTTCGCACCTGCGAAGGGAAATTGAGGCAGACCATTACTTGGAGGTTCTACAGGACTCTCCCCGGTGATTGTTAACCTCTGATAGCCGTACACACGCACTGTCTCCGCTGCTCTCC